ATTCTATTTTTTTTTTTTTTGGGGGGGGGAGAGGGGGGTGTTGGGGTGGGGTTAGTCAGAATATTTGTAGTAAGTTGTAACTTGGTTATACTCCTGCCTAGAAATGGATGCAACCTAACTCTCATAGGGTGGGTTTTGATCTTAAACAGTTGGGGTAGTCCTGGGTTGAAGAACTGATCACTGAGTTTTCTCCATTTCACGTCATTAATATTTATTCTCCCCCCCCACCCACACACACACCAAAATAATAATAATAAAAAAAATCATGGGCATTATTAACTGTCATATGATATCTTCTGACTCTGATTGGCCCTTCAATTCTGAATGAGAAATGAAAGTTTATCGCGCAAATGGGACAATTCTTTACTAGCATTCTTAATTCCTTTTCCCAGGTCAAGTTCTGGTCACCATTAGAATAAGTGTCAGAGTTCTGAACAGGCATGTGGTACAAATACCGGATTAGGTTCCCTCTTTCTAGTTATCTTCATCCTGTAAGTTAGTGTATATACTACTCTGCAAACCATGAAGTTCGTTGCAACTCTCAGATTCATTTGGGTACGCCCCACTCTTCGTGGAATTACTGGCCCTTTGCAGTCGCGATCATTCCAACCCGACTTTGTTCCCAAAGATCCTGAGGCAAAGCTTAAAAGATACAAGTACCCGCCATTCTATTATCCATATGGCCTGAGATCCCCACCTTCTGATAGGATCATTCAGCTTGCAGAACAAATTGCAGCCCTGCCCACTGAAGAACGAATTCAAATCGGTCCCACTCTCAGAGAGAGATTACGACACCCCAAGATGCAACCAATATCAGTAGAGGGCATGGATTTGGGTAACCAGGGAGGGGCAGGTATGGGATCTACAAAGATGGAGGAGAAAAAGGCAGAGAAAACAGCGTTTGATGTGAAGTTAGAGAAATTTGATGCAGCTGCAAAGATCAAGGTTATCAAAGAGGTGAGGGCTTTCACAAGTCTAGGATTGAAAGAAGCGAAAGACTTGGTTGAGAATGTACCCGTTTTAATTAAACAAGGGGTTACCAACGACGAGGCAAATAACATAATAGAGAAGATTAAGGCTGCTGGAGGCGCTGCAGTGATGGAGTGATGTTCTTGAATTTTCTCCAGATATCTCACGTCCGAAACTTTTGTTGTAAAGCCATGTTAGGAGTTCTTGCCAGATTTTGGAGAGAACAATTTGTTTTAAACTACTTTTTTGCATGTTGTGAACTATGCTTCTTAAATTAGATTGTTGTAACCCATTGTGGTGTTCCCAGCACCGGCAGTCCAATGCATTGCTCAATTGATGCAACTGTTTTGATTCTCTATTATGCCTTCTGCTGGGATGCAAATACATTTCCGCAGCAAGTTTGTCTACATGCAGAGTTGCGTGGTTAAATTTTCATGGGACGAGTTGCATAGTTATTACTACTCTGTTGTGGTTGTCATGGAGGTGTGCACCCCATTATCCTGAAGAAATGTGTTTCTTGAATTAGTATGATAATTGACTCCCCTTGTTTATCAAGAAAAAAAGAAGATAATTGGCTTCCCAATACGTGGTTGGTTGATGAAAGACATACCAACAGGCAAACTATGTTCTTGAGATGTTGACAGAAATGTGCGGCCTTCTCAAACTATGTATCTTCTCAAGCTAGTCATACATTCGGATTCCAACAGAAAAAGCCAATGCTTGTTGTGCTCTCTCCATTAAATCCACCGCAAGATTTTCAGTTCGAACGTCAACATTTCAAAAGGAATATAAGAGAGAGAGAGAGAGAGAAATGGGAGTCAAACAATCCCCAACCAACAGAGTCACTAGCCTTATGGAACAGCCTAAATCAAAAGATTCATTTTTTNCAAGATTTTCAGTTCGAACGTCAACATTTCAAAAGGAATATAAGAGAGAGAGAGAGATAGAAATGGGAGTCAAACAATCCCCAACCAACAGAGTCACTAGCCTTATGGAACAGCCTAAATCAAAAGATTCATTTTTAACAAACGGGATTAAGCAGAGGAAGAGGAGCCAACCATGGTGCTTACCTTCTTTAGGAGACCCTTAATCTGACTCTCCAATTTGGCTCTCATTTCTGCTGAAAGATTATCCCCCGCCTGCTCAAGCATTGACGTCATCATCTCAAGATTCTGTCTTATGCTCAGAAGATCAGGTGCTTCTCCTTTGTGAGATTTCAAACCAGAGGGCTTTGCTGGTGTCTTCAATCTGTCCGTGGGCTGCAAAGTCTGTGTAATTGCAGCGGTTGAAATATGATGGAGGCGATAACTTAAAAGGGCTGGTCCAAAAGGACTGCTTTTTTCTAAACTCTGGAATGCGTCTGCAGCGTTAGCACTCCTTGAGAAGACAACCTGGACACTACAATCACTCAATGCACTTGTTTCCGATTCCTTCAGCGGTCCAAACCTGCCAAACGTCGCAACCAGGTCCTCCTTTGAAGGCAAGGGAGCCTCTGGAGCAAAATTTAAGAGCAGAGCAGTCCCCAAAGCTTCTCTCCTATCTAGCATCCCAGCAGCAGCTTTATTTCTTCTTCTCCTCTTCCTCTGGGGTTTACCATCAGGTGAAACGAAGTTCGTGTCTGCCAAATCTTTTCCTGTTGAGCTGGGTTCAGTGACATTTCCATTCAAATCTGGTATGACAGAGGCAACTTTAGTCTTCAGAGAATCGAAAGCTTTGTCCTTTCTCTTTCTCTTGTTGCTGTTAGGCTTACGACCAGGAGATGGCAGGCCCATCTGCGGCAAATCTTTCACCAAGGACCTAGGTTCAGCATTGTTCCCATTAACATCTGGTTGCGCAACTGTGAGTATAGTATTCTGACACAATGAAGCAGTGTCATTCATTTTCTCTCTACCGTTCAGCTCAGAAATACATTGGAGCGAATATACACCCACTACTTCAATATCTTTCAAAAATGGAGCAACTTTAGAGCGTTTAGTCTTTGTAATCTCCAAAGCAGCTCCCTTGCTCCTTTTTCTCTTCTTTGGCTGAATTTTACCTTGAGATGCAACAGGACCTGTAATCTGCCCACCTTCAACCAACAAGCTAGTGTTGTTTCTGTTCAAATCTACATCTCCTTCTTCCATTCCAATTCCCTTCTCCATCAGAAAAACTTTAGGTAACGTAGGGAGAACATGGTTAGACTCCTGCTGGCCAAGTGCTTGAACTCGAGCCATCTCATTATTTAACTCATCGTAAAAGGAGAAACTTCTAAATCCAGAAAAGAATCTCTCAACTGCATCGAAATTTGTACTTTCATTAGGGTAGAGACAATCTAGAGCAGTCCGATGGAGTTCAAAGAGAAATTCAGCTGAAGATGCATTTGTTTCCACTGGTTTATTGGAGACATTATGCACCCTAATGGGCTTCCTGGACCACTTTTGCCCCGACTTTTTGCCAGTAAACTCGACCATTGGGTCTTCTTTTTTGTATGCTCCTGAAGTAGGTGAGCTTTTGAGCCCCCAGCTCATGTCTACAAAAGGAGGTGATAAATACTTGCTCCTTTTCCGTTCCCGTGACTCATAGCCTTTATCAGATCTCCCTCTCGTTCCCCCATCAACATTTCCTATGCTATAGACTCTACCCTCTATTTTTTTTGGAGACATTAAGGGGCTGGTAATCTCCACCTCACATGAAGCCACTTTACAGCCATCAAGATCTTCAGCTTCATCACCTACGTTCAACTCTCTCTTCCTGGATTCCGTTGGAGTATCACTAGAAATAATTTCTTCAGCAACACCACTCCCACATTTCTGCAATGTAACATCCCTGTCCCCTCTGGAAAACTTAGTCAGGTTTTCGTCCTTCTTTTCTGATGGCAACCCATCTCGAACACAGTCTTTAGCATCTGCTGTTGGCCTGAGTTGTTGCATTGGCAGTTGGCAATGCCCTATGGAGCGATAAAAGGCTGACAAATGATTCTGGATTACCGTAAAGTCAATCATACCAGGCATGGAAACATCCTGGGCAAGGGATTTGATAAATGCAAGAAAAGTGGTAGGTTCAAACCGAGTCACTGAAAATTCACCAAGTTCACCCATTGTAATCTCTGACACAGAGTCTCCCTTCTTAGTTCCAGCAGCCAACAGAGTAGCAAGTTTGGTTTGGCACTCTTTTAAAAAACAAGAACAAGTCATCTCCATCTTTACGCGCTTACCAATCACACCTACAGCCTTCTGTACAGCACCAAGGAAGCTTCTAGAGTCGCTTTGCCTCGACATCTGGCCAAAGTACTCGAGAAAAGGCTTAAACTGAGATGCAGAGCACCAAACAAAACTACCATTCCCAAAGTATTTAACTAAGAGGCAGTTCCTTTGATCAGACTTTGTGACATCCTTCGATGCACTCGAGGGATCATAAATCAGTCCAGGCCACCATGATTGTGTCCTTGTTTTAACCCATACCAAATCACCCACACAGAACTTGTATTCTTGATCACCACTATCCCCTCCCTCCACTCCATCCACTTCTTTTGCTTCAACATCTACAGGGCTATCTTTTGTCACTTCAAGCACACCTTGGTGAACCTCTGAACTCTTTCCAATTGTGTTCTCCCCATTACCAGGTAACAACTGCCAACTTTCTTTGTGCTCATTTTCTTGATCAGATGTGCCCCCTTTGAATACTTGATCTCTTACAGGGACTGCATCATCACCTTCAAAAATTCCATTCAATGAACCAGAAACTTCTGTCTTCTTAGCTGAATCAATCCCGTACAACTGTGACACAATGATTTCTTCCACATCCTTATCCGTTACAACATGCGCAACTCCAACCTTCTCACTACTGCTAATTTCCAACCCCACTTCTGGAACTGACACATTACTAGTTTCCATCTCATTGCAATGCAGTACAACTAACCTTTTCACTTCGGAATCAGATTCCAGAGAACCACCTTCCATTGGAGTTCCTTCAGCAACACTTGCATCTACCAAAGGTTCCTTCTGAACTTCCCTAAATATATAACTGTTTGTGACTTCCACATTGCCCAATTCCTTTATATCGCTAACCTCACCACCATTTTCGCCACCCAAGCCCTCTGGATACAACACTAACCCAGTACACTTCTCAAACAAACTAGACTCCCCTGAAGCTTTACATGAATTTTATCACACAACTTTTGAGCTTGACCTAGTTTGGACAACAAAGAGCAGCCCTCCTCTAGTTCTGAGGTTCATGTGGTTTCCATTCCAAGAATGTTCCATTAAAGGTCTTACTTTTTTCCCAAAATTATCAACCTCACATCAACATCATAGCTGAATATCATAGGGAAACACATAAAAATGAAATAGCCTTTCAACTTTTTCTATACGTAGATACATTCCAACCTAGTCAAGCAAATCGAAAAAGAAGACAGAAAATAACAAAAACCCAATACAATCAACAAAAATCCAAGCAAAAAAATATAAATTTCACCAAATAACAGTACGATTAGAAATCGTGAAAAAGTTACAAGAAACTTAAATACCTGAAGAACACATTCCAGGTTTGTACTTTCCCCAAAAAAATCAAGGCTTCTGCTTTTTTAGTGAACTGAACCCAGTGGCAGTCTTTCAAAGAGAAAGGACGTGATATTTACAACTGGGTAGTGAAAGAATAATTGGAACGTTCTCGAGAAATTGTTCAAGGGACAGTGGGAAAGACACAGCTAGTCATAACAGTGTCCTGTTTCGTAAGTGCATGATCACCAATCCGATGGTTGCAACTTCCAAAGGGCATTTTTTTACTCCTAGAAATAACCCATATCTAAGACACAATATAATATTAAAAATAAAATTAATTTTATAATATTTATATTTTAAATAATAATTTAATTTTGAATAAATTTTATTAACATTATGTGAATTTAGGTCATATTTCAGACACTACCCCAGATTTTTTAAATATCATTGTATATTCCTTTCAGTTTTTAACTATTAACAGACCTAACAGAAAATATAATTTTACTTAATTACTCACACTAAAACTCTCATATTTTATAGGAATGTTATTCGGTTTTACACTTATTTTTTTTTGTTTTTTATTTTATCCCATTTTATGACCTCACTTAACCATGGAGACAACCTTTTTTTTACGGAATTAAGTTTAAATGTTCATTTCACATATTACCATTATTAACATAATTGCATTAAATTAATATAAAATTAATCTATAATTTTATCAAATTAATATCAAATTGACTTTTTAATTTTATTTTGATTAATATTAAATTTTATTCATATTTAATTTATTAAATTAATACTATAAAATCAGGTAAAAAAATAGTATTATTATTATTAAAAATCTTAATTTAAGGGGTAAAATAATAATTAATGGTTAAATTATGGGTCAAAAATATAAATTTTTAAAAAATAAAGTTATATTATATATATAAGTGGAAGACAAAAGTCTTTAACTTTTCTTTTTCTAGTGTGTTGTCGAGAGAGTGAGAGAGAGAAAGGAGAGTATTATTTTATTTTTTCTCTTTTCTTTATTCTCAGATTTACGAAAATTGACTCGTTTAATTACTTTGGGCTAAGAATTAAAGTTGCTCTACTCAGCGAAAGTTACGCAACCACACCAAATATCGTATTTTTCTCCAAAAAATATCAAAGACGATAATCTAGATCTAAAGTTTGAGAAATTCAATTAGACTTCCTCGAAGTTCCAGTACGTGGGCTTACGCTACGAGAGCNTGACTTTTTAATTTTATTTTGATTAATATTAAATTTTATTCATATTTAATTTATTAAATTAATACTATAAAATCAGGTAAAAAATAGTATTATTATTATTAAAAATCTTAATTTAAGGGGTAAAATAATAATTAATGGTTAAATTATGGGTCAAAAATATAAATTTTTAAAAAATAAAGTTATATTATATATATAAGTGGAAGACAAAAATCTTTTACTTTTCTTTTTCTAGTGTGTTGTCGAGAGAGTGAGGGAGAGAAAGGTGAGTATTATTTTATTTTTTCTCTTTTCTTTATTCTCAGATCTACGAAAATTGACCCGTTTAATTACTTCGGGCTAAGAATTAAAGTTGCTCTACTCTGCGAAAGTTACGCAACCACACCAAATATCGTATTTTTCTCCAAAAAATATCAATGACGATAATCTAGGTCTAAAGTTTGGGAAACTCAATTGGGCTTTCTCGAAGTTCCAGTACGTGGGCTTACGCTACGAGAGATAGGGTTTTCCCTATTTAGAATTACTTTCAACCTAAAATATGACATATGAAATGAGTAGACTACGAGTGTATATCACATATTATGTCTTGACTAGTGTAAATAGTAGATGAAATATATGATTTATAATTAACTTTGTAATTAAAAAAATCCTATTATGATTAACTTGGTGTAAGTTAATGTTAGTGGTTTAAAGCATGTTAATTGTACATTAGCATTATTTTATGTGTTAAATGACATATCAAGTTTAATAAAATTATTAGTTTGTTATGTGATTATGGAATAATATGTATGTTAAATGATTATTTAGCATATAATTATTGTAGTGGATTTGTGCATATATTTATAGAATTGATAAATAAGTTGTCATGTTGAAAATGTCATTATATTGTATTCTTTATGTAATGGACATTGTAAATACTACCAAAGGCAATTGCACATTGAAATATCATTATGCATGAGTTACATTACATTCATGTGCATTGACATGGGTGGAGGTGTGTGCATGGGATGAAATCAATCACCACATAGGTGGTTGATTGTGGGCTCGAAAAAGTCGCACCAAGGTCTAGCTGAGTCACACAAAAAAATAAATGGATAAACGTGTCAGGTATAGCAAGAAGGGCTAGATTCTCTCTCGGGTACAAGACCCGCTTACTTGATTTATACATTTTTTAGCGGTGAAATTTCAGAAAAGTGTAACGGCCAAAACGGAGTCGCAGGTGGGATGTCCTGAGAATCCGTTGATGGTTGGTGTCCCATTGATGTAATACCATAAATCATCTNAAAAAAATAGTATTATTATTATTAAAAATCTTAATTTAAGGGGTAAAATAATAATTAATGGTTAAATTATGGGTCAAAAATATAAATTTTTAAAAAATAAAGTTATATTATATATATAAGTGGAAGACAAAAGTCTTTAACTTTTCTTTTTCTAGTGTGTTGTCGAGAGAGTGAGAGAGAGAAAGGAGAGTATTATTTTATTTTTTCTCTTTTCTTTATTCTCAGATTTACGAAAATTGACTCGTTTAATTACTTTGGGCTAAGAATTAAAGTTGCTCTACTCAGCGAAAGTTACGCAACCACACCAAATATCGTATTTTTCTCCAAAAAATATCAAAGACGATAATCTAGATCTAAAGTTTGAGAAATTCAATTAGACTTCCTCGAAGTTCCAGTACGTGGGCTTACGCTACGAGAGCTAGGGTTTTCCCTATTTAGAATTACTTTCAACCTAAAATATGACATATGAAATGAGTAGACTACGAGTGTATATCACATATTATGTCTTGACTAGTGTAAATAGTAGATGAAATATATGATTTATAATTAACTTTGTAATTAAAAAAATCCTATTATGATTAACTTGGTGTAAGTTAATGTTAGTGGTTTAAAGCATGTTAATTGTACATTAGCATTATTTTATGTGTTAAATGACATATCAAGTTTAATAAAATTATTAGTTTGTTATGTGATTATGGAATAATATGTATGTTAAATGATTATTTAGTATATAATTATTGTAGTGGATTTGTGCATATATTTATAGAATTGATAAATAAGTTGTCATGTTGAAAATGTCATTATATTGTATTCTTTATGTAATGGACATTGTAAATACTACCAAAGGCAATTGCACATTGAAATATCATTATGCATGAGTTACATTACATTCATGTGCATTGACATGGGTGGAGGTGTGTGCATGAGATGAAATCAATCACCACATAAGTGGTTGATTGTGGGCTCGAAAAAGTCGCACCAAGGTCCAGCTGAGTCACACAAAAAAATAAATAGATAAACGTGTTAGGTATAGCAAGAAGGGCTAGATTCTCTCTCGGGTATAAGACCCGCTTACTTGATTTATACATTTTTTGGCGGTGAAATTTCAGAAAAGTGTAACGGCCAAAACGGAGCCGCAGGTGGAATGTCCTGAGAATCCGTTGATGGTTGGTGTCCCATTGATGTAATACCATAAATCATCTCCCCACAAAGACACAAGAAAATGAATTAATTAACCATTGAATGTATATAACTCTAATGACGGGGGCTTGGAATGCCCGGATCCATACGCATGACATTGCATGTGTTGTAGGAGCTCAGGATGGGGCTCGGTGTTGGTATTGTTTTCTTGAGTCTCATTTCATGGCATGACATGATTTATGACATTTGTTCATAATAGACATATTTGAATAATTGCATGAAATGATTGTTGTATGTGACATTTCATATGCATTTAGGTTGAGAGGTATTCTCTATAGAAGTTACCCTATGGAGTATTGGCTCACCTTTTATGGGAACATTTTTTAGGTATTGTACAGGCGTGCACCGAAGGCAAGGCCATGGGTCTGCTTTGATGATAGAGTCGGTCTGTAGCTCTTCTTTTGACATCATAGTCCCTTATTTATAATTACTTTTANTTGATAAATAAGTTGTCATGTTGAAAATGTCATTATATTGTATTCTTTATGTAATGGACATTGTAAATACTACCAAAGGCAATTGCACATTGAAATATCATTATGCATGAGTTACATTACATTCATGTGCATTGACATGGGTGGAGGTGTGTGCATGAGATGAAATCAATCACCACATAAGTGGTTGATTGTGGGCTCGAAAAAGTCGCACCAAGGTCCAGCTGAGTCACACAAAAAAATAAATAGATAAACGTGTTAGGTATAGCAAGAAGGGCTAGATTCTCTCTCGGGTATAAGACCCGCTTACTTGATTTATACATTTTTTGGCGGTGAAATTTCAGAAAAGTGTAACGGCCAAAACGGAGCCGCAGGTGGAATGTCCTGAGAATCCGTTGATGGTTGGTGTCCCATTGATGTAATACCATAAATCATCTCCCCACAAAGACACAAGAAAATGAATTAATTAACCATTGAATGTATATAACTCTAATGACGGGGGCTTGGAATGCCCGGATCCATACGCATGACATTGCATGTGTTGTAGGAGCTCAGGATGGGGCTCGGTGTTGGTATTGTTTTCTTGAGTCTCATCTCATGACATGACATGATTTATGACATTTGTTCATAATAGACATATTTGAATAATTGCATGAAATGATTGTTGTATGTGACATTTCATATGCATTTAGGTTGAGAGGTATTCTCTATAGAAGTTACCCTATGGAGCATTGGCTCACCCTTTATGGGAACAATTTTTAGGTATTGTACAGGCGTGCACCAAAGGCAAGGTCATGGGTCTGCTTTGATGACAGAGCCGGTCTGTGGCTCTTCTTTTGACATCATAGTCCCTTATTTATAATTACTTTTGATCTTGTGTAATTTTTGTAAC